CAGAAAATGGGGTGCACCGGCGTGGATCATGGAGGTGCGAGCCACCTCCATGACCAAACCGATGCGTCGCTCAGCGACCCCATTCTGCTGCGGGGAGTCCGGCAGGGTAAACGTCTGGGTGATGCCCTCCGCACGACAGAAGCGACCAAGGACACCTGAGGCGAACTCGCCACCCCGGTCGGAGTGGAGGCGCAAGGCAGGGAGACCGCGGTGGAGACGAGCAGAGACAAGCCAGGGGATGAGAACGTCAGGCACGTCGGCCTTCCGCTCCAGGGGAAAGACGGTGGTGTAACGTGTGAAGTCGTCGACAAGCACTAGGAAGAAGCGCTCGCGACGCGGCCCATGGACCGGGGCTGGGCCCCAGACGTCCATGTGCAGAGTCTGCAGGGGTGCGGTGGTAGGGGGAAAAGAGGAGGAGTGAGGGGCACGGCGGAGCCGGCCCTCGACACAAGGCGTGCACGGTGGGGCGGGGGATGAGGGAAACTCAGGGAACGAACCGGGGAGACCAAGGACGAGACCGTGCTGGGACATGTGACGCAGACGCGGGAGTGCAGGGTGACCAAGGCGGTGGTGCCAAAGGAGAGTCGGATGAGTGAGGGACCGACAGGAGCACGCAGCAGCAACCTGGGTGGACGCAGCTACCTGGGGGGAAGACCCAGCCGGGGACGTCGCGGTGTCAAGTGTGAACAGGCCGGACACCGGGTCCCGGGGGAAAGTGGTAAGGGGGGCACCAGTGGCGGCCTCGGTACAGACAGCATACCGCTCGTGACCAGGGAACGTAGTGGTGACGCCAAGGTCCTGGAGGCAGCCGACACCAACTAGGTTCCTGGAGAACGAGGGGATATGCAGACCGGTGAGCGAACCTGAAGGAACCGCCGGACAGGGAAGGGAGGTGGAACTGCGGGCAAAGACGGGACCACCGGAGGGGTCAGCAAGAGTAACTGCAGCAGGAACAGGCAGCGGCGTCAGCGTCGTGGAGTCGCGGAAGAAACACCGGGAGGCGCCAGAGTCCAAGGTGAAGGAAAGCGCAGCAGTCGCGCGGGGCGACAGTGAAGCGGTGGAAGCACCGAGGCTAAGCAAAGCAGGAGATCCTACGCCTGACGCAGCAGGGGAGTCTACGCTAGGCACAGCTACACTAGGCAACACGGGGTAATAAGAGGGAAGCACACTAGAGTCATCGGCATACATCACATGCAAGGCTGCTACAATGGCATCCATGTCCAAGTCAAAAATCCGAATGCTACGCCTAAGCAAGCTGTGCCAGTCCGGGAGGTCGGGCGCCGGGCCAAAGCGCTGGCGGAACAGGTCGTCCAGACGACGAAAACAGCGAGGAGTGGAATGACCGATCTTACCGCAAACAAAGCCGCGGCGAGGACCGGTCTGGATCTGGTACTGACAGGGCCCGCCTCCAGAACCACCACCCGGTGCACCACCACGCGCACGACCACCACCAGCTCCAGGCCACCCAGGCGGGAGAGCACTCGCCGGCCTCGTCTGCGGCGGCTGCTGCGGCTGCTGCGGAGGCTGCTGCTGCTGCGGCTGCTGCAACGGTGGAGGCAGCGGGGCAGCTGGACCGGGCAGGGTCCCCACGTCCGCACCGGCACCGGACGACCCGCCTCCACCACTACCCCCACCCGCACCCCCGCCACCTCCGCCGCTCCCAACCTTGGGGCGGCGGCCCTTCCCCGAGCGGGACTGCACTGCAGCAGCAGTCTCAGCCACAGCGACAGAGCCGTCGGAGAAGGTACACTGAGCGGGGGCACAACCCTGAAAGATAGGGACCGGTACTGTACCGCTCGCCTGGGCTATGGAGCGGTGACGAGTCTCTATGGCAGTCAGGGTGTCAACAAAGTCGGTGAGGGTGAGAGCAGCAGGGTGGATGCTAAGGAACTGGTCGCGGGCGGCGGCAAGGCGGTCAGGGAGGCGGGTGGCAAGGAGGTAGAGGGTAGAGGTCATGGGAGGCTGGTGGACTCTAAGCTGTGCATCAGTGCAGGCAGCGCGCCAGGCCTCATCTATCGAGCGCAGGGGGGCAGCGAGGTCAGAGACAGTGGGGAAGGACGCCAGGTCAGGAAAGAGCAGGGGGAGGATCAGGCGACCCACTGAGGCAGCAGGAGGGGTAGAATAGCGCTTGATGACAGCATCGAGGTAGGCCTGGGCGGTAGTAATGGTTCTAAAGCGAGGGCGCTCAAGGGGGGGGAGGGCATTGCTAATGGCGAGCTGAGCAAGGGCATCGCGGGAAAGCCAGACAGAGCGGGCAAGGGCAGCGGCGGCAGTGGACTCGCGCTCAGCGGGCGTGGGATCAGCAGGCAGCACAGCAGGGGGGTCAGGGCAGGGGAGCATACCGTCTAGGTGTGCAGAAAGCGGGTGGCCGTCCTGCCGCTGATCAGTGAGGTGGCGGCGAAGGTCAGCCAACCACGCCTCGAACTCCAGAGGCTGACCCTCAGCATCAAAACGAAGCTCAGCAGCCATGAGGGGCAGTGGAGGACAGTGGAGTGCGGTGTAGTGCTGTGCAGTGCGGTGCAGGGCGGTGCAGTGCGGTCCAGTGCGGTGCAGTGCGATGCAGTGCGGTGCAGTGCGGTCAGTGCGGTGCAGTGCGGTCAGTGCGGTTCAGTGAGGTGCAATGCGGTGCAAGGCGGGGCAGGAAAGTGCAGGAGGGTGCAAAGTGGTGCGGGGAACGGGGGACAGTACCAGGAAGTATGGAGGGCCGGGGCAGGCGCGACGGGGCCGGGCAGGCGCGACGGGGCCGGGCAGGCACGTCGAGGCCGGGCAGGCGCGACGGGGCCGGGCAGGCGCGACGAGGGGCCGGGCGGCTGCGACGGGGCCGGGCGGCAGCGACGAGGCCGGGCGGCTGCGACGGGGCCGGGCGGCTGCGACGGGGCCGGGCGGCTGCGACGGGGCCGGGCGGCTGCGACGGGGCCGGGCGGCATCGACAAGGCCGGGCGGCAGCTACGAGGCCGGGCGGCAGCGACAGGGCCGGGCGGCAGCTACGAGGCCGGGCGGCAGCGACAGGGCCGGGCGGCAGCGACGGGGCCGGGCAGGACACAGCAGGGCCGGGCGGGGGCGACGGGGCCGGGCGGGCGCGACGGGGCCGGGCAGGTGCGACAGGGGCCGGGCAGCTGCGACAGGGGCAGGGCGGGCGCCACGGGGCCGAGAGGCCGCGACAGGGCCGAGCTGGGGCGACGGGGCCGAGCAGGGGCGACGGGGCCGAGCAGGGGCGACGGGGCCCAGGAGGGTGGATACGGGGCCCAGGGAGGAGCGCGGCAGGGCCCAGGAGGGGCGCAACAGGCCCAGGAGGGGCGCTACGGGCCCAGGAGGGGCGCAATGGGGGCCCAGGAGGGGCGCGGCGGGGCCCAGGAGGGGCGCAATGGGGGCCCAGGAGGGGCGCTACGGGCCCAGGAGGGGCACTACGGGCCTAGGAGGGGCGCGACGGGGCCTGGGAGGGGCACGACGGGGCCCAGGAGGGGCGCTACAGGGCCCAGGGAGGGCGCGACGGGTCCCAGTAGGGGCGCTACGGAGCCCAGGAGGGGCGCGACGGGGCCTGGGAGGGGCGTTACGAAGCCCAGGAGGGGCGCTACGAAGCCCAGGAGGGGCGTGACGAGGCCCAGGAGGGGCGCTACGGGGCGCTACGGGGCCTGTGAGGAGCGCGACGGGGCCCAGGAGGGGCGCTAAGGGGCGCGACGGGGCCCTGGAGGGGCGCTACGGGGCCCAGGAGGGGCGCGAAGGGGCGCGACGGGGCCCTGGAGGGGCGCTACGGGGCCCAGGAGGGGCGCTAGGGGGCGCGACGGGGCCCTGGAGGAGCGCTACAGAGCCCTGGAGGGGCGCGACGGGGGCCTGGAGGGGCGTTACGAAGCCCTGGAAGGGGGGCGCGACGGGGCCTGGAGGGGCGCTACGAGGCCCTGGAAGGGGCGCGACGGGGCTAGGGGGAGGGGTCGCGACTGGGCTCAGGAGGGGCGAGGCGAGGCTAGGAGACGCGACGGGAGGAGCGGAAGCGGTAGGTGGGGGGGGGAATAATGTGAGAAGAGAGAGTACACAAACATATACCTAAATGTTGTACTCTCTAGAAGGTGACCCTATACAGTCTATACGAACATGATAACTACACATGTTTGACAGAGGAGGTAGAGGAGGAGCTGGCGGAATTTGATGATGATGAGGAGTAGGTACCGTGAATGTAGGGAGGGAGGGAATGGCCATCTGCCAGCATGCTCGTTCGCTTGTAACTTGCAAGTAGTACTAACTTAATCAAAGTGTTAAACTGTATCTTCTTTTGTCACATACAATAACAAACTATGCAGTAGAATTTCTTTGTATTTTCAGACAAAGATTCTCAAATTCTCTGGAAAGTCAGAAAAGTTTTTCAAAATTCTCTGATCCTGAAAAACGCATCAGACCAAGTGCGCAGAACGTGTCTGATTGCTCAGACACGTTTTTTTCCAAAAGAGAACCCTGCTACCAAGCCTACAATTATATACTAATATATATCATTTAACATCACGCTACTAGTACAATCTAAATGTTATATGATGAATGCATAAGTAAACTCTGTCGAGTATACTTCAACACTCCTAGGCTAACTATATCCATGCTTCCTGCTGTTAGATGTTGTCTCATTTGGATTATTTTCCCGTTAATCAATCCTTCGACACACTCTCTCTGCGCTTCATTACACATGTCTTCCTTTCATTTCGATAATTAGGAAAACAAATACTATGTAGAAGGCAGATCTGGATTCCATGGGTTTTGAATCTTGTGATTTACATTTATATATTATTAACAGTCCTATATTTACTATACTGCAGATTCCATAACACTAGAATTAATGTGTCATGAATGCGTTATGCTATACCTTTGTAGAGTGCAATTTATTCACAACTGTCCATAAAGGCATACATTTGAGCACAATGCTGCACTCCGACATGCTGTTTCCCAGAAAAGAGCAGGGCACCACGCGGTACCACACAAATGTGAAAACCGATCCTGTTTCACAACCCCCACCAAAGCAGATTTCTGTTCTGCAGGCTCTTGAGAGTTCCTGTCTGGCTGATTCCGTTTCAGCATATCTCGTTTTCACCATTTCGGGGTACTGCCATGTCGTCCCTGTGTTGAGCCGGCCCGATTCCTCCCAGCAGAAGCAATGAGGCCCACCGAGCCTCATGATAGGGCCTCAATTCCGCGACTGAAGTCGTTTTCTCGCAGCTCGTCGATACCGCGAGACACGGTAACCGTTACCTCTGACGTCAGCAGCAGGACCTCCGCTAGCAGCAGCGCAGTCGTTGCTGACGACGAAACAGGCAGGTTAAGTACCAGCGGCTCAGTTACTATCGCGGACAGCAGTGACAGCTCCGTTAGCGTCAGCGTGACGCCATCAGCAGGGTCAACTGGCGTGACACGTCATGGCAGCGAAGCTTCAGTGGAGCTGCAGGTGTGGGAGGGAGGCGAAGACGTCAGACATGTCACTGATGTTGTCGCTCGCAGGGCTGATCAGGACCGCTGGAGGGAGCGGGAGGGAGGAGAGGGAGGAGAGGAGGATTTGAGACCAGCAGTGGAATTGGCCGAGAGACACAGATTAGGGTTTGGTGAGAGGCAGGCAGTAGGGTTGGGCGAGAGGCACTACAGCAGCGACAGGGACACGGACACGGACAGAGATGAGGAGGGCGAGAGGGGAAAGGGAACAGCAAGGGAGCGGGGGGCAGGGAGGGTGCGGGAGAGACGCGTGGAGAGAAGCAAGTCGGGGGACGGAACGGCGGGTAGGAACTGGCTAGGCGCCGCTGCTGCTGCTGCTTCTGCTGCTGGTACCGCTACTGGTGGTGGTGGTGGTAGTGCTGCTGCGATCGCGGGTGGTGGCGGTGGCAGCAGCAGCAGCAGCAGCGTGAGGGCGAGCCTTGGGTGGGGCGGGGTGAGCGTGCGTCTGTGGTGCGACCCTCGCAGCGTGTGGCCCGTGGCGCGCGTGCTCGTGCTGTTGCTGCTCTGGTACACCTTCAGCACGTGCCTCAGCCTGTAAGCACGTGCCTCAACCAGTAAGCACGTGCCTCAGCCTGTAATCACGTGCCTCAGCCTGTAAGCACGTGCCTCAACCAGTAAGCACGTGCCTCAGCCTGTAAGCCCCTCGCCTTCAGCACGTGCCTCAACCTGTAGGCACGTACCTCAGCGTGTATGCACATGCCTCAACCTGTAAGCACGTGCCTCAGCCTGTAAGCACGTGCCTCAACCAGTAAGCACGTGCCTCAGCCTGTAAGCACGTGCCTCAGCCTGTAAGCACGTGCCTCAACCAGTAAGCACGTGCCTCAGCCTGTAAGCCCCTCGCCTTCAGCACGTGCCTCAACCTGTAGGCACGTACCTCAGCGTGTAAGCACATGCCTCAACCTGTAAGCACGTGCCTCAGCCTGTAAGCACGTGCCTCGGCCTGTAAGCAAGTGCCTCAGCCTGTAAGCACGTGCCTCAGCCTGTAAGCACGTGCCTCAGCCTGTAAGCCATTCCCCCTTCCATTCCACTCACTCTCCGCTTCTCCTCCCCCAGATTTTCTACGTCTTCCCCCCTCACACCCCATCTCTGCCGCTCGCTCCCCCTCCCCCCCCCCGCACCCCTGTCTTCATCAGGTACAACAAGATGCTGATAGGGCAGCAGCACGGGCGGTTCCCTGCGCCGTTGCTGCTGACGGCGTTCCACTTCGCGCAGCAGGCGCTCATGGCCTCTGCGCTGCTGCACTCCGCCTTCCCCGCCGCCCTGCCGCCGCTGCCCCTCTCCTCAAGGGACTACTGCCTGAGAGGTGGGCGCGCTCACCATGACCTGCGCGCTCACCATGACCTGCGCGCTCACCATGACCTGCGCGCTCACCATGACCTGCGCGTTCACCTCTTCTGCTTGCACCGTCAGCCCTCTTTCATTTCATGGACGCTTGTTTGTCGCATGTGTGCTCTCCTGCACTCACCCATTGCCTGCGGTTTCATCTCAACTCGTCTCCCACTTTACCCCACGTCGTGTACCGTGGCATGCCATAACATGACATCTGGTGTGTTTCTGTGCATGCTGGCTTTGCATGGCATGTCATGGCATGGGGTGGCATTGCATGGCGTGGCATGTCCTCGACTGTCCTTGCATGTATGTGCGTGACAATGAGCAGTCATACCCACAGCGGTGGCAACAGCAGTCGACATTGCACTGTCCAATCAATCCCTCGCTTATATCACACTCACGTTCTACACAATGGTACTCATTCACCATTCGGAGTGCGAATGAGCCGACATTTCCTGCTGTCACCACATGCCCTATCACGCTCACAGTCACACAAGTGCACACGCACACCCTGCTTTTGCTCTCATCCCTTGCTTATGCCCTACTGCCCAACACTGTCCTTCTGTCCTACTGTCCTATGGTGACTGGCCTCACATCCCTCCATGCCCACATCCCCCCATGCCCACATCCCCCCATACCCACATCCCTCCATGCCCACATCCCCCCATGCCCACATTCCTGCATGCCCACATCCGTCCTTGCCCACTTTTCTCCATGCCCACATCCCCCCATGTCCACATCCCCCCATGCCCACATCCCTCCATGCCCACATCCCTCCATGCCCACATCCCTCCATGCCCACATCCCTCCATGCCCACATCCCCCATGCCCACATCCCTCCATGCCCACATCCCCCCATGCCCACATCCCTCCATGCCCACATCCCCCCATGCCCACCTCCCTCCTTGCCCACATCCCTCCGAACTGTTGGGATGTGGGCACCAGGTCGTCTTCAAGTGCACCCTGTGCATTCCGCCCTCTGTTTCCCACCCCCCCCCCTGTTGTCCCCCCTGCAGTGCAAGTCCAGCGCGCCCATGTTCCTGCTGCTCTTCGCCTTCATCTTCAGGTAAGGCTTTCCCCCCCCCCCTTCTCCCCCCCCCTCCTTCCCCTTTTGCTTCCCTGCTTTGCTGATGCCCTGTCCACCCGCAGCCGCCCCCATGTCCTAATCTACCCATCCTTGCTCCATGTGCCACACAACCCACCATACCCCACCACACCCCACCACACCCCACCACACCCCACCACACCCCACCACACCCCACCACACCCCACCACACCACTCCACACCGTGCCGTGGCAGGTTGGAGCCTCTCAGTTTCCGGCTGATCGGCATCATGATGGTCATCTCTGTGGGGGTGCTTTTCACAGGTCAGGCGGTGCTCTTTACAGGTCAAGCAGTGCTCTTCACAGGTCCACCTTTAAGCTTTCGGGATCGGGTTTCAGGCTTCTCAGTTCGTCTTCCAACAGTCAACTTCCCATGGCATGCCGTGTTGCTTGAGCGCTTCAATGTGAGTGAGACAACCTTCCGCATGTGAATTTCACCGCCACCGTGCCCCTCCATGTCTTTCACTGCCACCGTGCCCCTCCATGTCTTTCACCGTGCGTGCCTGGCAGTGGCAGGAGAGGCGTCGTTCCACGTGTCGGGCTTTGTGCTCGTGATGCTGTCTGCAATGGCGTCTGGGCTGCGATGGGTGCTCATTCAAGTGCTGCTGCAGGTGATGCCAGGGCTGGTGCAGGTGATGCTGCTGTCACTGCTGCCGTGACCTCATTCTCCCCTCCCTGCAATCATGATCCCCCACTTCGTTTCCCGCCCCCACCCCCCACCACATGCACATGCACATGCCATGGTTGTTCTCGTGTCCGCGCGCATATCTTATTGCTGCCACTACAACCATCTGCCTCCATTCATCACATCAGCCAAGCCATATCTCGCCTCCCTGTAACTGCTGTCCCCGCGCCCCCTGCTCTGTCTCACTGCTCTTGACTTCCCCTCTCATTCTACCTCCGCTTCCCACCCTGTTGCCCCCATCGCCCCCATGGTCCCCATGACTTGCGGCTAGCCCACCCTCTCCCCTCACAGAAAGATCGCCTCGGTATGCTCCCTCTCTCCCCCATGGTCTTCTGCCTTTCGCTCTTACTTTCATGCTTCTTTTTCTTGTTTCCCTTGCCATCCACCTTGTGCCGTGCCCGCACCTCCTATTTTGTGCATCGCTTGGCACCTCATGAGTCCACTGTAGCTCAACAGCCTTCCCCCTGTTCTCTCTTATCATGTCTCGTCTCATGCTCCTTCTCACCCAACTCACTCATTCCCATGCCCCGTACCCCACCTCCCCAGGTCTGAGCAGCCCGCTGGTGTCCCTGGCCTATTTGACCCCCCCCATGGCCGTCACGTGCTGCCTCTTTTCCCTCGCCCTGGAGCCCCTCTCCTCGCTGCCCGCCTCGCCCTACTTCTCTCCGCCCTCGCAACTCGCACCCACACTGCTGCTGCTGCTGCTCGGAGGGGTGCTCGCCTTCCTCATGGTACCCTGCTCGCCCTAAATCCCTATAGGCTGTATCACTATCCCCTGTATCCTATCGCTCATATCTCTATCCCCTGTATCCTATCCCTCATATCTCTATCCCCTGTATCAGTATCCCCTATATCCCTGTCCCGCCTATCCATATCTCCTGTATCTTTATTCCGCATTTCCTTATTCGTCATATCCCTATCCTCTGTATCCCCATCTCTCAAATCTCTTTCCTGTGTATCAATTTCCCCTATATCCATATCCTGTGTATCCCTATGCCCTCCAACCCTATCCCTTGTATCCCTATCCGTTATAACCGGATTCCCTGTATCTGTTTCCCCTCATAACTTGTCTTCTCGCCATCCCCATGGGTCCTTTCCTCACGTGGTGTTTGCATACCTTATGTGGTGCATCCTGCTTGGTACATTGCATGTCGCATCCCACACCTTCCACAACATCCGCACTTTGGTTGTATCCCCGCCCTCCTCTCTCTCCCCCTCACCCCCCCTCATCCTCCCCTGCAGATCATGTCTGACTTTCTGCTCATCTTGCCCACCAGCGCCGTCATCTTTATGTTCGCCCACTGATGTGCCAGACCCCCCTCTGCCCCCCCCCCGTCCTGCAGATCATGGCGGAGTTCCTGCTCATCCTGCACACCAGCGCCGTCACCTTCTCTGTGGCCGGCACTGTCAAAGAGGGCGCCACCATTCTGGTGAGCTGCCCAGCACCCGTAGACATTTGTGGTATAATTTTCTGCGATTCGCGAGGCGCTGGGTGCCTGCTTCAGTTCTCTTCTCCTCTCGTTTGCAGCCAGCCATGGCCCTCCCAGTCGCTCTCTCTCTCCTCGCCCCTGTCCGTACTCCCTCCACCGCAGCTGCCCCACCTGGTGCTCGCAGACTGCTTCACTCGCAGCAACCTGCTGGGCTTAGAGGGCGCTGTGCCCCCTCTATTGTGCCTCCCACTTGCCATCAGCGGTGCCTCCTCTCTCCCCTCGCCCCTCCTCCACGCCAGGTGTCCCACCTGGTGTTGGCGGACCGCTTCACTCGTGTGAACCTGGTGGGCGTGCTCATCATCATGGTCGGGGTCTCGCTCTTCAACCTGCACAGGTGGGCTCACTGCCTGCACAGGTATCCCACCAGCACAGCGCACCCAAGCAGCTTTTGTTTTTCAACTTCAGCGGTGACCACCTCTATTAGTGAACCACTAGTGTGCACTGCTGCCACAACCCCTCACCCTCATGCTTCTTCTCTCTGCCCACTCCCTTCTCTGGCCATTCCTCCCCCTGTTCTCTCAGGCTGTCTCGTCCCCCCCGCATACCGCACGGCACGGCACCCCCTCTCACGCCCTCTTCGCACTCGTTCCCCACCACCCCCAAGTCCGCTCTCACTCCCACTTCCATAGCCACCACCCCCACTGCTTCCTCTCAACATCAGCACCAGCACCGGCCTCCTCCCTCCCCTGCCGCCCGTCTACCCACTCGCTCTCCTCGCCATGCTGTGCTCCCGCACCCTCCCTCTGTGCACATTGTGTCCGCTCGTCCCACTGCTGCTGCTGCGAGCACCAGCACGAACAGCAGCATGAACAGCACCACTGACAGCCGCAGCAGTGGCAGTGGCATAAGCAGCAGTGCGATTGCGGGCAATCAAGCTGACAGCGACGTGCGCAGTGGAGGGGATAGCAGACGTGAGACTGCTGTAGTCCTGACGTCTCCCATGCTGAGGGTGGTGTGTGAGGAGGCTGAGAGTGAGGAGGTGCAGCAGGAGAAGCGGCCTCTTTTGCAGGATGGCAGCAAGAAACACATACATTTGTAGTGCGGCACGCTTACAACTGTTCAGGGCTGTAAAGGTTGTGTTCTTGTCATCCTTTTACCAGATGTGTGGACCACCGTGCCTTTCAAGCTGTGCCAGCAGGCAGGCAGTGAGGCAGTGAGGCAGTGAGGCAATGAGGCAGTGCGGCAGTTGCTGAAAGGATCTAACATGTTGTTGGAAATACCTTAAGGACTTAAGCGTTTTTGAAGTGTAACACCACACTCGAGGAAGGTCGTAACGGGTAAGCGAGTCAACGGAGGTTACACGAAGGGATGGACAAACAACACGAAAGGACTCGAAGGGTCGCAACTGGAGGTTGCGACTGACAGTTACAACTGCAAAGATGGTAACCGAAGCGACAATCGAGTCGCTGTGCGACTCGATAACCGCCCTTTTTCAACTGTATTCTACAACTGCTTTACCTTCCTACTTTCTATATATTGCTGTATGCTTGTCCTCTTAATCAATCACTTGTTCTCACATACTAGTACAAGGGTTCAACTACTCAACTTCCGCTGCACTACTCAAGTCTCCTTTTACAACTGGACTTAGTCTCTGGAAAGATCCTAAGGGCTTTTTCTCAGCCCAATATGGTATGAGAGCTGGTCAGAGACCAAACTCCCAGCAACTACGCTCTATCTTCAATCAGAACACCAACGACTTCATTAACTACAAGTCATGGACAGCAAGGGCAAGAAAACCTCTACGGGTTCACCCAGTGGCCAAGACACTCAACCCGGCAACTCTGGACTGCACACTTCAGGACTGCAGACCGAGACAGGCGCTGCCCAAGAAACAACAGGAAGAACACCAGAAATGGTGACTCCATCACCCTCTTCAAGCGTGGACCCGAACCTTATGGAAAGGTTCTTCAGCTTCATGTCGCACTTCGACCAGCAGCAGCAGACAAGGACGCCTGCACATTCAACACAGAGCAACGGAGGAAACATGGGATTAGCGCCGATGAGCCTCGACAACTCATCGTTCAGGCGACACAATCAAGCGCCTACCTTCGCGCCTTATCACTCTTCACCGGGGACGTTCGAGTTCATGCCGCCCCGTGCCCAACCAACAGCAGCTGCATCACAACAGACACCAAGCGAGATACTTAGTCTCCAGGCGCAGTTTTCACACGTCATCAAACTGCAGACATCCTCACCGTTCAACGGACACGACTTCTTTACCTGGAGCTTTGAGTTCGAGCTGCTGATGGAGGCCGCGCACCTCTTGGGATACTTCAACGGGTCCCTGCCATTTCCAAGCAATGGCACTGCAAAAGAGCAAGAAATTTTTACATATCAGTCGCTGCTGGCGTACACAGTCCTCCTGCGGAACCTGTCACCACAAGAACAGCAAAGCATCAGAACGTATCGGAGCTATGGAAACTCCGCGGAACTCGCATGGCATCACCTCAAGTGCCTCTATCAAGCAAACGACATCGTGACACAAAGCAGACTCATGCAGCAACTGACAACAATACAGATGAAGACCGGGGAAAAGGCGATGCAGTATATGAGTCGATGCCAGACACTCCGCGACCGCCTGCTTCGGTGCGGAGGAACAATCACTGAAGAAAGCTTCGTAACGCTTGTCCTCGCTGGGCTCGGGCCAGAATGGAGAACCACCCGCTCGCTTCTTCGCGCCCACGGACGAATCTCGGAGATGCACCTCTGCGCCGAGCTCCATGCTGAACAACAAGAGATGGACCTGTTCGAAGAAAGACAACCAAGGAAGCAGCAACCGCTAGTCTTCTACACTCAACGAAGGAACGACAACAACTACAACCGACGCAGCAAGCAAGATCAACGCGACAACAGAGGACTCACCATTGTGCCGCCGTTCTGCCACAACTGTCAAACATCTGGACACTCCAAAGTCAACTGCACACGCCCACGAACTTATCGTCCAGTAGACCCACAAGTCGCCTCCACTCAAGAAAGCCCGCCGAGACGTTCCTCCATATCTGCACAAGGCACACCAAACATCATCAATTGCATGGTCCACATCGACAACTGCGCACCCGTCTCACCACCCACTTACGCTCCAGACGAGGAAGAACTGCCACCGCCGCGTTCACAAGGGCTTCAGGTTAATCCGACATACGCTGCAGTCGCCAACGCCGAACCCACCGGGTGGAACACCTGGTTCTTGGATAGCTGCTGCGGTCAACACATGTGTTCTTCCGGGCGCTTCGTGCAACGAGAGCGACGCCTCAACCGCGATGTCATCATCACCGTCGCCAACAACGAGAACCTGAAAACAAACAGACAAGGCATCTTTCAGCTTCAGTCAATGGAGACGAACGTCATACTACAACTCAACAAAGTCCTCATCGTCGACAATTTGGGATACAACTTACTCAGCGTCAGCCAGTTAATGGCAAAAGGAATTCACCTGGAGTGCGACTCGGACTCCAACGAATTTCGTCTTTACCACGGGAAGGGCGGTCTCTTCATCGGTCGCGCTCTCCTGAAGTCAGGCGTCTTCGTGTTGGATTTCGTCCCCGACCGCGGCACCGCCGACAGCGATGGCATCGTGTCGTTCGCCGGCTGGACGCACCCGCCGGACCTTGACCCCGACTTCACCCTAGATGGATTCTGGTACTCCAACACCATACCTGCGGCAGAGAGAACATGAGCGTTAACAGTTATTCGACAAGAAAGACAAGTACCAACAAGCGTTCCTTCCTCGACATCACCTGAAGTAACAGCAGCAGGACCCAGCCGAGTATCATCACCAGCAATCCGAGGACCACCAACCGAAGCAGATCAACTTATGCCCATCACATGAGAAGTCTGCCGAAGTCCCGCCACGGTCGTCGCGTTCTTCTCCAACACCGACATGTACCAACGCTCGCCCGGCCATCGCGCCTCCGACGACATTTGGTACCAACGCCTTGGACATCCTGCAAACAGCACAGTACTACAAACCATCCAAGCCGAAGTGTTAGAACGAAACGCTCTTCTTACGACAAGCGACCAAGAACTTCGACGACCTCGCGCACGGTGCTTCACGTGCCCTGAAGCAGATCTTCCCCACCAACCTTTTCCATCACATAACAATCCAAGTGCACCTGCATACGCACCGATGGAAAAGGTTTACAGCGACATCTTAAACATGCCTCGAGACGACACTGAAGCCGACTTCAACTATGTCATCACGTTCATCGATGCAGCAACAAGATATGTATGGCACTACAACCTCAAGACGCGCGATCAAGCTTTCGAAGCCTTCACGACGTGGCTCCCCATCGCTGAACGAGAATCAGGAACGAAGCTCAAGAGCTTCCAGTCATACGGCGCACTCGAATACCAGTCACAACGCTTCAGGAACTACTTGGCGGAAAGGGGAATCAGACGACTGGTGTCTCTGCCCTACGCTCACCAGCAGCAGGGGGTCGCAGAAAGAATGAACCGGACCTTGCAGACGATGATGCGGAAGCTGCTCCTAGGGATGAGACTGCCCAACGCACTGTGGCCAGACGCGATGACCCATGCAGTCCACCTGCACAATTTGTTATCCTCGTCCTCGCTTCCCAACAACGCATCACCGCACCTGCTGTGGACACGAAAAAGGGGCAGCACAAAATTACTTCGGGTTTTCGGCTTCATGGTACAGTACAGACCCCACACAGCCCGAGCAGGATGTTTCACTCAACGAGCAAGGTGGGGACTACACCTCGGCATCACCAAACATCCAAGCATGGAAACTCCTTGACATTCAAGACAAAAACACCGTGGCATCACGTGATGTGATCTTCTACGAACGACTGACACTGCAGCATTACCTGGACAACGTTGCCAACACAGACGACCCCACCAACGGCTTCGCGGGCCTTCGCTCCTTCGCCGACCGTGCTGCCGAGGCTGATGCAGCAGAAGAAGACGTACCTGGAGCTTCGGAAGCTGCCGGACCACTCCCTTACTGTTCTGTGCCTGTACCACTCAACGAAGACAATCCCCTCGATAGCAACAACCTCGACACCCTTTACCACTTCGCTGACCAAGGTTACGTTACACCTCACCCGGTCGACACAAATGTCTCAGAACGCATCGGCCCAAACTTCTTACCTGATCCAGAAGATGGTGACGAAGCAGCCTATTCGGGGAACGAAAATTCCCCTCGACACACACCCACGGGATTGCAGATACTCGGCTTATGGGTCTCCGTCCAGCATCCACCGCCGCCATCTCCGCGCGAGCCAACGACTCTGTCGCAGGCTCTGGGGGGGGAACACAAGGCAAAATGGAAAGAGGCAATGGAAAAAGAACTGAAAGCTCTGCAAGACCGAAATACATGGAAGCTGGTACCTGCAACGAACATCAACGGGAAGAACGTTCTCTCGGGAAAATGGGTATACCGCATCAAGACCAATGCGGACGGCTCCATCGAACGATTCAAAGCTTGCTGGGTCGTACGAGGATTTGATCAACGATACGGAACTAATTACACAGAAACATTCGCCCCAGTCTCCCGTCACACCTCCTTGCGCATTCTACTCGCCGTCGCGGCCACGAAGAAAGTACCACTGCGCCAGATCGACGTCGCAAATGCCTTCCTGTACGCACCTGTGGACGCCGAGATCTTCGTCGAGCAGCCCCACGGATTCATCGACGACCCCACAAAAGTGTGCCAACTGATAAAATCCCTTTACGGGATCAAGCACGAAACAAGTGTGTCGGTAGTGTGCCCTGCAGCGGCATCTTCACGGTTGCCTCGTCAGGATCGGATTCCTACAGCTGTCGCACGACCAAGGCATGTACCGACTACAGAAAGAAAGGGAATTTATCCTACTCATCGTCTACGTCGACGACCTGCTCTACATCGGCTCCACCTTCCGACATCGCCACCTGGTTCGAAGGGGAGCTGAGAAATGACTTGACACTCACAGTGTCTGACACCGTAACCCAGTACTGGGCCTAAACGTCGTCGAAGACAACTCGGCGTTCTACCTACACGCTGGAAAGTACGCAGGCGTTGTCGCGAAGAAATTCGAACTAGCGCCGACTACAGTTACGACTCCCTACCGCTACGGGAACAACAACAACACCTCCGCAAAACTCCCCACGAAGCAAATCCAGGAGTATCAGCAGAAGCTTGGATGCCTACTATTCGCAGCAGTAACCTGCCGACCTGACCTATCCTACAGCGTGAGTCAACTGGCGACGCATCTGAAGCAACCGGAACAAGAAGATCTCGAGGAACTTAATCGGGCACTACTCTACTTTGTCTCTACGCCGACGACCGGACTTACCTGCAGTAAAGAAACAACATCGTCCGTA